TTTTTTTTTTCATACGTACATACGAGATAGACTTTGTCAAAAAAATATGATTATTTTCCAGATGTTGCGAGATTTTACGGCTCACATGCGCATAGTCCAATCCTCCACTGTTATTATCTATTGTATTGAATCCTTTGTACGTGATCACACGATGCGAAATAATGGGAATTAAATCCCGGTAGGTATCATTCGCATAATACTTCCCGGTAAGGACGATTTTTCTAATGAATTTAAATGAGTAAAACCATTGATCATCACCAATCGATCGCATAATAAAACAAAACTAGAGTTAAAAATGACAGAGTCTCTATTTATACATAATACATGAATACATAACTTTTTGAGACGTTCATTAGGTCTACTTGAAGTAGGGATGAAGTCGTTTGTATTAATTTATGATAGTTCAACGTCATCAATGGAGACGAGATTTTTTTTCCCTCCAAAGATATACCGTAAATGATGGTACTTGCCTTCTTTCGTTTCAAATAAATATTTAAAACAACTCTACTCGGGCTTTTTAAAACATCACCTACACACACACATATATATATATATACACTCTAGATGATGTACATCAGGTACATAATCGTTTGGCTGTTGCTATTACAGATTTTTCCCTTTTCCGTGACATCCGGACGGAAAGGCAAAACTTGGCTCACCCTAGGGTTGAAGAAAAAAAAAAAAAAAGAAAAAAAAACACCAAGAGAAGCGACGTTACGTCATGTACAACGCGAGAAGTACATTGAAACACATCGATACACTTTCTTCCTTGTAAAAATAGAACGTAGCTGTGACACTTTGGCTCTTTTGGGCTCTATAAATATCGCGCGTGTTTCCGCACCCATTACGACTCCTACATCCCTACGTTTAAGAAAAAAAAAAGAAAAAAAAAAAAGAGAGAAATCACGCGGGAAAAAAATTCTTGTCTTATAGAAACACAGGGGCGCTCGTTTAGTGGCAATGTTCGCCGAGAGTATATAATCCAAGGAGGTAATATATGTATATTTGCTCACGCGACACTGATGTACTCAAACACAACAGACAGGAAAAACCGATTGATATTGAATGTCGTGGTTTCAAGGTTCTATAGCTCAGAGACTCGCGCGGACAGTCCAATTTATCGGAGATTTACAGCACCGCCGAGCTAAAAATAGGACTTAGTCGATTTTATTTCGGAGCCCATTAGTAAACCTCACGCGGAGCGTGTGCTCATTACATAATCTACGTAATACATACACTGTGCCGATGATGATGATATCAATTACACGTTCGGATTACATTGATCAGGTGGATCTTGAAAGGGGTAGTGCAGAGCTTTCGTTCGACTTCCCAAAGAGTTACGAAAATGAGATAACAAAAACTTTCTTCCCTATCACGTTCAAGTTTACATTTAATTAGCAAATTTACGGCAAAATGAAAATTGGCTTCTTCAAAGTTTAGTCCCTAGTTTCCCTTCAAGTGAGCCCTTTCCAAACGCGATCCATCAAAAGCTACCCACGACATCGAGCTCAACCTGACGTGTATTACTTGACTTGGTCTGGAAACTCGATTACTTCATTATATGTATATATGTAAATCCATCTCGGATTGTCATCGTGCTATTATAACGCTACCAGAACCTTTTTTTTTTTTTTTTCAACTCCAACAACAAACGGTTTTTTTTAAAGACCGTAGCGTTTTTCGTTCTCCTAAAAACACAGTTGTGTCAATTAAAAAAAGAAAGGAGCTAGAGGCGCGTTTGAAATTCCAAAGGTCATATTGAACAACAAAAATGGCAATCAGATGGAAAGCTCCCCCGGACGAGTTTCAATGAAGTCTCTCTCGCGCGTGGGTGTCCGATATACCTTTGTCGTCGCGACTCTCTCTGTTTTAGGCAACGCGATAGCATAAGCCCCCACGCGAAGCCACTCGAAAAGCTGATGTACAGTTCCTCCCGACCGCAAGCACACAATAAGCGCCGGCCGGCGCGCGCACGGCGAAAAAGACGAGACGCGGGAGACACAAGCGCTATATAACGAGCGTCTCGTCTATTTCGGACTCAGAGGGACGCTCCCGGCCTGATAGCCCAACTTTGCTCACGGGAGGATCTATTTCTACGACTCGCGCCGGAGGTGCGAGAGGGGGGGTAGGGAGGGAAAAAAAAAAATTAAAATTAGCACCGCTGGCAGCTCTTTCTCTCTCTCTTTTTTTTATTCTCCCTCCCGAGACGGCCGGGGGTAAACGACCTAGCGATACGCGATGATATTTATTGGCGAGGATTCCGCACTGTCTTTTCGTCGTCTGCGTCTCTCTCTCTCTCTCTCTCTCTGCTTGTGCGCCTGTATGTATACGTAACGCCGCAGCGCTAGACAGATGGCTAAATGATTACTCGGCTCTCCCTTTGGTTTCCTGCGGCGGGAGAGTCGCGTTTTTTTTTTCCATTTTATTTTTAGCTCGCGGTGCTGGTGGTGGTGCCGTCGCTGCGGCTTGTCGAGTTATGAATGACTAATTTTTCGACGGGGGCAAGGGGGGAGGGGAGAGACACGAGCTTGCGGGCTTTCAATAGGGGTGGCGGGAAGCGCGCGTGGGAATCGCACGGGGCATGGGAGCACACGATTGTTTTCGCGCTTGTCTGAGCTTTCGATGTGCACGACAAAAAAAGAGCTCGATATGGGCACGTCGTGTTTAACCGCGAAACGATTTATAATAGCACGCGAAATTTGACGAAAAAAGCTCAAAACACGCGAGTAGAGAAGGGGGTAAAAAAAAGTGTTCTCGAAGTACATGCACCTTCCGTACTAAAAATACAATGTTCGGAGGAAGGAAGGAAGTGATTCGTTCGGAGGCAGCAGCCCAACTTCCGTTCTATCTTTATCTAAGAAGTGGAAAACTCCACGACCGTTGGGGGGAGGAGGAAAAAAAAAAAATTCGTTATACTTTCTCCGGTTGCCCACACCCACGCGCTCATTATCTGCACGTATATACCACACACCTCTTTGACAATCGCGGACGCGGTTTCTCCCCCCCCCCCTGCATATATACATATCATCCGCCCGCTCTTTCCGAGCTTTTTTTAAAATATAGAGAAGCCTCCTTTTCCAGTCTCACCGCTTCTCACGTGTAACCATGTGTGCGCACAACCGTGACCGCGTATATTTGCACGCGTGCTTGTATACACGCGAGAGGGTGTCCCTATACATATATACACAATATATAAAATACATGAATAAGTGGGCGATCATATATATAGTAAGTAGGTGTACGGTCGCGTGGGCGAGTTTCATTGAAGAAAAAAAAGGCATCCGCGTGTGCGTGTGCGTTATATTGCCTTTCTCTCTCTCTCTCTCTCTCTATTTCCCCCGATCTACCGGTGTATACCCTGACGTGCAATGTATACAATGTAACGTAAAAGATCCGAGTCGGCTAGCCCCGCTTTATCTCTCGTCGCTGACTTTAACGACGCCCTATTAATCCATAACTTATACCGTCCGGCCGGCTCTAGCTGTGTCAGATATATACATGTATAAAATATAATGTAATACATAAGGTATATATATATACCTGCAGCGCACCACGTGTATGTATATAATATATTGTATATACTAGTAGATGTATATACAAATGCACACACACGATCGCAGAGTTTGTCGACTTTTCGACGGGTTTTCCTCAGTTGTACGGGTGGGTGGGCGAGCGGGTGTATTAGGTGCAGCGCCCACTACATGGTCTCCAAAGGAGGAAGAGAAGGGACGCCTGGGTGTGGGTGTAATTATTTCGCTCTCCCATTATCTAGATCCCCCCCCCCACCGGTAGAAGCCACCTATAAGCGCGGATTAAAAGTCCCGGCCGCGGGTCGCTCTCTTGTCGCCCCGCCGATGGACTGTTACTCTCGCGTACGATGCGTCCCGTACATATTGCGTAAGATATACATTCGAGCTGAATTTTGCCACGGACGTGCCACCTGGTGTTAGTATTACGTTTGGTTAGCGCTCAGTTCACCGGGGCTTCGTTGATATACTTCATCGAGCCACATCGACTTGTGATTTTCGTAAGCTGTACCTGATGCACGTTTACTACAACAAATTAATTTGCTCGCGAGCGCTTTTGCGGCGACAAAGCCGGCTTGGATTGTCACACTTTCGTCCCAGCATATATATATATATATAACATGTACTCAGGTCTGTTGGGCGCCCGCGCGCATATAATACACTCGCTTCCGATTTCGCGCTTTACTTGGCGATGCAGGTTGCAGCTGCCCACGCTCTCACTTTCTCAGCAAACTTCCTCCGTCTCGTCGGTTTTTCGATCGGAGGGGAAACGGGCGTGACGCTGCGCGACCGGGATTGCGGGCGAATCGGAAACGCCGACTCTCCTTCTCGGCCGATTGGTCATGGTTTTCCGCGAAATCGCCGATCTCCGGGGTAAAAAAGGATTTTCCGCGTCTGAGATACAGATTCAACTTCCTGCTGTTGATGGGGAGGGGCTATTGTCATCTCGGCGCAATGTACAGTACATTGTGTATATACTTTCGACCCACATGTGCGTATACGGATCCGAACCACCCCGTCGTTTCTCATTACGAGAAAACTTATAGCCCTCCCCCCCCAATTAGCAGACCGAGCCAAATAAACCGAAGAGGAGCACAGTGTGCCAGTCACGTATTTAATCAGTCCCAATTTTCGCAGGTCCCTGGAGATCTTCGAGCAGCACGGCGTCACGCACTCGGAAATCCTGAGGCAGCAGCGATTGGCCGCCGGCTGCAGTCTGGGCGGCCCCCTGCGATACGACAACTCGATTATCTTCTGGCTGACTTGTGAGAAGGTAAGGAAAGATCTCCTGCTGACTATTTATTTCTTTTTATCCTCCTTCTCACTTTGTAACAAGTACACACATCCTTCCCGAACAATGTTTCTTTGGATTTTCGTACTCGCACTTGTAATGCCAAAGAGATAGAGCACGTGCACTCTACACTTACGATTTAGTGTTTTTTTTTTTTTTTTTTTTTTTTTTTTTTTTTTTTTTTTTCAA